CGGTCAGTTGGTGACCTGCTGGCTGGCTAGAAAATAGCAGTGAAGGTACCTGCATAGTAATACAAAACTTCTGCCAAACATCTGAGGAATAATATGAATGGCTGGGCAGAAATGCTCTTCGATCTATCCTTGAGGGTTGGCGGAAGAAAAGGAAAGGCCTGTATTTAACTCTATCTCTTTGTAAAGTCCCATGCATCTGGAAATTCTTTGAGAAATTAATTCAGAGGAACTGAAAACAACTTGAAGATATCTGACACCTTTTTGACAGCTACAGGTCTGGTAAAAATTGCTCATGTATTGGGTCCTAGTAATACCGGTGAGGAATAAAGAGGCTGGTGTGTGACCAGACCAGAACCACATTCCAGAACATTAATGAAAAAGGTGGTGTGGGTGTATGTGAGCTGCCTGACACAAAGCAGCCCAGCCCATCCTTTGGGTGTGGTTGTTATCTGCCTCTGACGTACTTCTCTCCAACTAAGAAGTGTTGACCACAGATGGTATCAGTTTCTTCCTGCTACCTAACAAAACCAATCTCTTCGCTATCCTTTCCAGTCAACTCCCCCCTCTTCCAACTGGCCCACAATTCCAGGAAGAAAAAAGGCAATGACAGTTGGCATCAGGGGCAAGTGCTTGGATCACAGACAATGGCATACCCATCTTCATTCCGTATACGAGCAGGGAAAGATGCCTTCAGAATCAGCTTCTCCTTTGCTCAAATTAATGACTGACTTTGGACAACAATCCAACCTATATCTCACCTTCCCAATTAGGACATGGCAAATCCATAGCTGAGTTTCTCCCATTCAATTTTCCCCCTCCCTGGCTTTGAGTCTTTCTTCCTCCTCAAGTTAGATCCACTTAGCAGACCTGTTTTTTTGGGGTCTAGGACAACTTGCCATGGCAAACTCATCATGGCCAACTTGCCATGGCTAACTCACCACAGCCAAGTCGCTCACTAACTTGCTACAGTCAACTTGCCGCAAGACAAAAATTACATAATATTGAAGAAATGATGGAATAGAATCATTAAAGAAAGGATGGAAAAGGAGGGACAAAATGAAATGTGAATGACAAAAAATTAAAATAATTTGTAAATTATTTTAAATAATTAAATTGAATTGCTCAATTGTTCTGTGGCGAGTTGGCTGTGGCAAGTTGGCCCCGGTAAGTTATCCCATTCCGTGTTTTTTCAACCTTGGAACCATGACCTGAGTAGAAGATTGGGATCCCTGGAAAAGGTGATGGAAAGTCCACCTATTTCCCTTATAACAGAAATCTGTTGAATGAAAGCAAGGGATTACTGTTTATTGGTATCTAAAGAAATTATCTGAATAGATAGTGATCACCATTGGCTGCATTCAATATCTAGTGCTGTCCCCATAGCTCCCATTGCTGGCTTTTGACCTAGAAATCAAAGTGGGCATTACTATTGGCTGTAAAAGTGTCATCGCCTATCACTTTATACTGACAGATTAACCATTCTATTTTGAACAAAGGCAAAATGGACTTTTTGAATAAAGATGAAAAAAGAAACACCAACAAACATTTGATTTTTGGCTTTGTTGATTTGATAGGATAGATTATATGATATGATATGATATTATTATATTATAAGAGTAATATGATGTACTTTAGACAGGTTAAAATATATTTATACTCATAGCTGCTGTGAAGCACCACTTTATATCTTTTTCTTTTCTTTTCTGGTTTTCTTCAATTTTTTTCTTTTTTTGCACTCTTTACTTTTATATCCTTTTTCTTTTTTGTTCCTTATTTATATATTAGTTTGTTACTTTTATCTTCTGGTAGAGAAGTTTCAATAAAAGTAATATATAAATAAAAAATAGCAAGTGAGTAATAAAAAAAGGAATTAAATTATTCATTGCACCAGAGCCATCAATAAAGTAATAAAAACAAATTTCTTAAAAAGCCCAGACTTTTAGAACTGGAATCAGGTAATCTTTTCTTGGGTAAATAATGACTGTAGGAGTTGTAGTAACCTCATTTATTAGTCAATTGACCACATCAAAACAATGGGTGTCAACCACAATAAGCAACAATAAAATAAGGTAAGATACGGTAAAATAAGATAAAATAAAATAAGGTAAGATAAAATAGAGATAAAAGAATGAGATAACATAGTGTAAGATAAAATAGTCCATACGTGTTTGTTCATCTTTTAACCTTTGGAATCTTATAATAAGAGCATTTTAATTTTCATTCTTTTAATACTGAGCAACTGATCTATTCAGGACTGACAAAATCTGATCGATTCAGAAGTGTAAATCCCACTAGATACTTTAAAAAAAAAATCTCCCAGATGCTACATAGAAGGAATGCTAATATGTGTTTCTTCTAAAACAGGGGTCTTCAAACTTAAGAGCTTTAAGACTTGTGGACTTCAACTCCCAGAATTCCTCCTCCAGTCATGTTAGCTCAGGAATTCTGGGAGTTGAAGCCCACAAGTCTTAAACTTGCCAAGTTTGAAGACCCTTGTTTCTAAAAGATGGGCAGCAAAAATCAGATGTTAAATGTTTATAATGATGGGAATAAGACAATCTGTTGTTATGGTCTCAATATATGGTTCCTTCAACTAGTATTGGTAAAGACTGAGTTCTTTCTGGAGCAGGGGTCGCCAACCTTTTGGACTTCAGGGACCACCAAACTCATAATTTTGAATCCCAGGGACCACTAACTGGTTCTGTGGGTTTGGCCTAATTTGTGGGAGTGGCTTGGTGGTCATGTGACTGGCTGGGCATGGCTTGTATGTAAATATTATAAATATTTATGTAAATATTGATTTTTTTTAATAAAAAAAGCAACTTTTACCCAAAATCAGGCAAAGCAGGCAGGCAGATTGAGTTGCTCACAGAATCATAGATTCATTCAGAGACCTTTCTGTCATCGGCTACCTGAGTCTGTCACATAAAATTTGCTTGCCGTCAGTTCTAAGGGAGGTTCGGTTGTGCTTAAAAGCAGAGCTGAAGATCTAAAGACTAGCCAGAAAGCAAAAAATCCAACCATTTCCTGCTTCCTAGCTAATCTAAATCTCCCAGCACAGCAGAACAGCTGGTGGTCAGAAAAAATAGCAATTTAGCAGGCAGGTTTGCCGGGTAAGAAGTGAGTGGGCGGTGAGGGTTCCCGCAGGCCACGTGGGTGGCGCAGCCTTGTGTTTCTGCACAGCCTGGATTAATTGCTTTGGGGGGATGCTCTGGTGGTGAGATTTCTCTGCAGCCCACCAAAATTTTCTTGCAGCCCACCAGTGGGCCATGGCCTACCGGTTGGTGACTGCTGTTCTGGAGCATGTAATTCTCAGTTATTTCTGTTTCTGGTGGTCCATAAATGCATGTTTTCTTATATGCACTTCATGGAATCGTCTATATTTAAACATAGAACGTAGCTTCTCAAATCTTGCTTTGTTAAAGGCTATTTAATGGGAATTTATGGTAACCCATTGCCAGGTATTTTTCTGTTTGGAGACATTTAATTATTGGCTATTTCAAAAATGTGATGACTGTAAGTGACTCAATATTGGTTTGGATATTAATGTCCAAAAGTCTTTATTTGAATATTGCCTTGGCCTGATGTCCAGCTGAGAATAGATTGAGAAGCCAAGCTGCATTGAGAAGCCAAGCTGTGAGCTGTGAGGTGATTTCGAGACTTTGATGCATCCAAGTGGTGTGTTAAAGTGTCCCCATCTGTTCCTCAAAGCTAATTTCTGGTAGTTTGTCAGGTTTTATTGGAAAATCATCCACAGTAGTTAAAGATTTTGATTACTTTTAGACAATAAATGGAGTGGTGGCCTATTGTAGTGTATTCCTTGTTGATCTCCAGAATAAAACTTTAAAAATGTGTTTGATTTTGATAGACCCCACAATTCTACACCATAAATTAGCACTTATATGATTTTTGCCTTGTGGCCCTGTATAATGGTGGGGGGGCAGGGGGGGATTCAAATGTCTTAACAACCAGTTCTGTGGGTGTGGCCTAATTTGTGGGTGTGGCTTAGTGGTCATGTGACCGGGTGGGTGTGACTTGCTGACTGGCCATGGCTTGGTGGTCATATGACTGGGTGGGCATGGCTTGTATGTAAACATAAATATTTATGTAAATATTGATTTTTTTATAAAAAAGAGCAACTTTTACCCAAAAGCAGGCAAAGCAGGCAGGCAGATTAAGTTGCTCACAGAATCACAGATTCACTTAGAGATCTATCTATCTGCAATCGGCTATCTGAGTCTGTCACATAAAATTTGCTTGCAAGCAAACTCATAAAATGTGCCAGCAATCAAACTCACAAAATTAACTCACAACACACTAAGTATGTAAATATTATTTTTTTTATAAAAAAGAGCAACTTTTACCCAAAAGCAAGCCAAGCAGGCAGGCAGATTGAATTGCTCACAGAATCACATTTTCACTTAGAGATCTATCTATATGCAATCAGCTACCAGTCTGTGACATAAAATTTTCTTGCAAGCAAACTCACAAAATTAACTCACAACACACCATGTATGTAAATATTGAATTTTTTATTAAAAAAGAACAACTTTTATCCCAAAGCAGACAGAGCAGGCAGGCAGATTGAGTTGCTCACAGAATCACAGATTCACTTAGAGATCTATCTATCTGCAATCGGCTACCTGAGTCTGCATTGAAAAGCTCCAGTCCTAAAGAAGGTTCGGCTCTGCTTTTAGATTAGCTAGAAAGCAAGAAATCCAAGGATTTCCTGCTTTCTATCTAATCTAAATCTCCTGGCAGTGCAGAACAGCTAATGGTCAGGGAAGAAAAAAAGGAAAAATAGCAACTTACCAAACCAGGCAAGTTAGGAGGCTCACATGCCAGGTAAGGAGGGAGTGGGCGGGGAGGGGTGGGCCCAGCCAGTGGGGCGATTTGCCAGTTCTTTGAACTGGGTTCTCTGAACTGGGTTCAATTTGCTGTTCTCCGAACTGGGGACAATCATGTATGCAGCGTTTTCAAGAAATCATCAGCTGTGCCACCTGTACAGCTGACAAGCGCTGCGCTTGGGTGCGCAGTGTTTGAAAATCCTCTTGTTTCCTGTTTTTTCAACCTCAGCTGTACTGTGCAAAGCAGCTGAGGAGGGAAAAGCAGGGAATAAAGGGCAGCCTAGAGCCCGGGCAGAAAATATAAATATCTACATAAATATTTATAATATTTACATACAAGCCATGCCCACCCAGTCACATGACCACCAAGCCATGCCCACCCAGCAAGCCACATCTACCCAGTCACATGACCACCAAGCCACACCCACAAATTAGGCCACACCCACAGAACCAGTTGTTAAGAAATTTGAATCCCACCCCTGGTTATAACTGAGTAATTTAATTAGCATTTTAGAACTTGCTGTGGTCTTTATTGAACTTTATTTGAAGTGGTTAGCCCCAGATCTCCTGTTTGTAAATAATGACTCCTAAATATGAGAAAGGCACTGTTCTATAGGCTTCCCTTTCAAGTGCCAGTTGTATTTGACCCACTGTTTTCCAAAAACCATTATTTTGGAATTAGTTTTATTAATTTTCAAACAATTAGAAGTGAAAAATTAATTCCCCCACTAGTCTTCTTAGCTCTACTTGTAAATATGCCATCAGAACCATGTCATTTGTCTATGTTTGTTAAGGCTCTTTTGCATGTGAACATTGGTACAGTAGAGATGTTATTGCCATAAAGGTGGGCCTAAGATGAGTTGAAGTCTGCCCATCTTAAAGTTGCTGGGTTGAGAAATGCCGGAATGGAAGGTC